AAGATTTTTCTATAAGAGGAGATAATTCAAAAACCGGGCAAAATAGAGTTATGGTTCTTTGACACTGCACTCCTCTCAATGCCGTCTACCACTGAATGAAGGTTAAACAAATTATCTCCAAGGGTTTTCAAGTTATGCTCCGGACAAGACAACAGACGGACATACGGACGGACATGCCACTTAAATGGACTAAGGGGCCATTTCTTTTGTTATTTTCTTTTGTTTGATAGAGGTCCATGGCCCCTTATTCTATTGTTACGGAATGAACTCTATTGTTCTCTTTTGTTCTGTTTACAGTTAGATGGCCCCCTTTCCCTATTTGGTTGCTCGGACTGACAGACGGACAAGGCGGCGACTATATGCTCCCCCGAAATTTTTCGGGGAGCATAAAAACCTACTAAAATGTCGAACAATATGAAACTAGAAACTCTACAATTAATAAATAAATCCACACGAAAATACCAAGGTGCACAACTACACCTGCTAAAAACATTCCTGTCAAGTTTCATGACCCTAGGTTAAATACTTTTTGAGCTACGTGTGACACAAATTGAAAATTGCAAATTTTAACTAAGTCAAGGGAAATAATTATAACAAAAAAGAATAAATCCACAAGTGAAACTCCAAGTGCACAACTTCACATGCTGAGCAACATTCCTGTAAGGTTTCATGACTCTAGGTCAAATACTTTTTGAGTAATGTGCGACACAATTTGAAACCTGCAAATATTTGCTAAGTCAAGGGTAATAACTCTAAAAATACTAAATAAATCCACTCGAAAATACCTAGGTGCATGACTACACATGTTGATCAACATTCCTGTAAAGTTTCATGACTCTTAGTCAAACACTTTTTGAGCTACGTGCTACACAAAAAGAGGACAGAGGGACGGACTGAAGGATGGACTGATGGACGGACGGGTGGACAAAGGTACATCTAAATACCCACCCCCGCTAAAGTGGGGGCACAACAAAATTTTTGTCTACTGTTATATAAAAAATCCTGTAAACTTTGAACAAACTGTTCCAAATTTTGATCTAGGCTAATTCATCGCACAAATTCAGCATGTACTTTTAATATCAGAGACATATACTTACAGCAAATTTCTTGAGAGCAAAGCCAAGAGCTTCTATTGTCTCCATGTCTAAGTGATTGGTAGGTTCATCAAGGATGAAAAAGTTTGGACTGAAACAAACAAATATTATTTCATTTTCTTTTTGTTTAATCTGTAGCACAAAAAGGCAATATGCTGGGGCTGGGAACAGTTGCAGTTTCATGTTTATTATCTAAATTCATCAATGTAGCTTTATGAGGTTTAGAATAAGGAGGTGCCTCTCTGGCTGAGTGGTAAAGGTCATGGTCTTTAATCATTTGCCTCTCAGTGTTGTGGGTTTGATTTCTACTCAGGATTTGGGGATTTAATGTGGGATTCTGTCATATTTCATATCTAACTAGATTACAAGGTCAATGGTTCTACCAAGATGCTGTCTTGTGCCTGGAAAACTGCAATGCAAACCCAATATTGTCCCTCACAAACCAACAAGGACAATATTTGTTTTTTGGTTGGGTTTAACGGCGCACAAACATAGTAAAGGTCATATGGTGATGGGCACCTGACATTCCGTAAGTAGCTGGATACCTTCCTTACATGAAAGAATCCAAAGTCCATGGTGGGATTTGAACCAAGAGCGGAAAGGGGCAAGTGGTTTTAAGTCAACAACCTTAACCACTCGGCCACAGATGCCCCAACAAGCTATAATAAACCTGACAAAATTCATATTATTTAGTTAACTCGTCTTAATCGCTAAAAGCAGTCTTAAGTTTGACTATTCTGAGGTTATCAGTGGAACAGGTTTGACTGCCACAGGTTGTTTAACTTAAAGTATACAATATGTTAACTAAGCAAAGACTGACAGAGACACATGCGGTCTGAACACCAGATCAGACTGTACTTATCATAGCATTAGCTTTAATGATACAGTAAAAACATCTACAGAGCATCAACCCTCTTTACAGCAATAACGTCTTCACAACAAAAATATCATTCCTTTTTAAAAGTAAAACTTTACTATACATTTAACCTCTTTAAAGCAACACCTCACAATCTCAGCAACAATAAAAACTTTTTAGTGTCATGAAAGGTGTTACTCTGCCGAGGTTGTACTGTACACCAACTTACTTGGTCATACTCATGACTGCAAAAGCCACTCGGCTCTTCTGACCTCCAGAAAGACTAGTAACAGGTCGTGTAGCGAGCTCTCCGCTGACACCGTACTGTCCTAACACCCCTCTATATTGCTCAATAGTCTGACCTGTAAAATAACCAATTATAAAATTACATTTCAAAGCAGCTTGTCCTCAGATTTATGTTCAATTCAACTAAAATTATCAATTAGTTTAAGCTTAGGAAAAAAATGTCAATAAAACATTTATATCTAAAATAAAGAACTTTAAACAACAGCAATGACCTGAAATATGTCAAGATATGAAATATAGCCCTGTGTTCTCAAAATATAGCCCTGTGTTCTAAAGATATAGCCCTAACTATGTTAGGAAATAGGTAGTAATACAAAAATATATAGTATAAAAACAGTATAATAATGCAGTCTTTGATTATTCATCAGTCATTTATCATTTGACTTGTAAAGCATTAGGTGGATTGACAATACTAATACATTTACTCAACTCTCGAAACATTTTTTTTTATAATCTGTAAATCATCATGGAACAGCTTTTGTCTGCCGTGTCATTTTTGGATGGTAGACTTTTGCCCAGGTGGGTATTTGTCTTTCACACTTTAGAAATACCAACTTACGCGCAAAAACTTAACAAAAGTGTGAAGCCAACTTCAAGGTGAGTACAGTATCTGCCCCTTTCCTTCCAATAATCCGGCTTTAAATAAAAACTTCCCAAAGTTCTTGTTGATATGCAGGATGGCAATAGTGTATACTTTTGATTAGAGCAATGTCAGGGTTACAGGACTTATGATTATAAGGGGAGGTAAATATATCGAGAAATTAGTCTTATTTTTACCAGTATCCTAGAATCAATATTTAAATATACTCTTACCAGTATCCTAGCAACCATTTATTAAATATACTTTTACCAGTATCCAAGCAACCATTAATTATATATACTTTTACGGGTAACCAAGCATCAAATAATTAAATATACTTTTACCAGTATCCTAGCAACCATTAATTGAATATAATTTTTACAGTATCCTATCAACCAGTAATTAAATATACTTTTACGGATAACCAAGCAACCAATAATTTAATATACTTTTACCAGTATCCTAGCAACCAGTAATTAAATATATTTTTACCAGTAACCTAGCAACCGATGATTTAATATACTAGTATCCTAGCAACCAGTAATTAAATATATTTTTACCAGTAACCTAGCAACCAATAATTTAATATACTTTTACCAGTAACCTAGCAACCAATAATTTAATATACTTTTACCAGTATCCTAGCAACCAGTACTTTAATATACTTTTACCAGTAACCAAGCAACCGATGATTTAATATACTAGTATCCTTGCAACAAAATTTAAAATATACTTGTCCAAATTCTCTTTTTAAATGACTTCATAAATTCCAAATAAAGTGAGCCTGTTATTTCCATAATGATGAAGTAAAAAAACAACACTTATCTATATAATATTGCTAAAAGGCTGTTACATGCACATTAAAAATTTATAGTCACAAATAAATGTAATATGTAGTCTAAATACTCACAATTTTTCTAAAAGTTTTAATTTACTCTGTACTTGAGAAGCCCTATTTGCATTATAACTAAATCTGTCTATAAACACCTGAAAATTGGTATTATAAATTTACATTATCATAATAAATGTACATGCCATGTACTTTTTTTATTGCAAATGTGTTAGCTTATATACATAGGCCAAAATAGCTAAATCAAACACTTCTTGAAAGGCTGCTTGTTAAGGACAAGTGACCTTTATAAAAGGTTTAAGATACTGTAAAGTGTACAAATGGTTACTTACAATAAAATAAAAACTTAATTTATAAATCTGCAGCAGCCATGTTTATAGATAACATAAACTTCTTAACTGACCAATGAAAATATACATTTTAAAGACATATAAAGAGTACAGCATAAGATGGCAGTTCACTGTTAGCCTGCCAGCGACAACTGAGTCTACTCCTGCAACCATTGCAGACGAAGAGCAGAATGCACATCAATGCACTGTTTACTAGTATTCAGTCACTACATATTTTGAAGTCATCCTAAAAATGATGTATGGTTTTGCCCAGATTGAAATATGGACAAGTCTATTTAAGATATTTAGCAGATTAAGGTTTAAAATAAAATAAAACATCACTATAATTAATCTATAAACTTGTACCTGTATACATGTATGATCTCTATACTGTTTCTGTGCCCCGTATTCTTTCTTCTGATTTTTCATTCTTTCTTCTTTAGTTTTATCAAATTGATCATAATTTCCTTTATAAGTGTCCAGTCTTTTATCATGTAAATGCACAATTTCTGTACAAACTGAATTTAAAAAAGAACGGTCTTGTGATACCACTAATATCGTTGACAGCCAAGTCTGAAAGAAAACTAAATTTTGCCCGTAAATATTAATTTGCAAGAAAGAAAGATCAAAAGCATTAAAGAGTATTGAAGCAGTTTGTAAATGGATTTTCTGACTACCATTTTTTTTTATACAATATTCACTCTAAAACATAAACACAAAAAGATAATTAGCGAATAAGGCTACTTTCCATAAAAGAAAAAATAAGGAACATTACATTCAAAGGTACTAATTTACAGCAGCAATGTACATATCAAGGATTGACTGCTTAACTGTTGAAAGTCCTTCTTTGTTTTGAAAATATCTTTGCAGTTTTGCAGACAACCCTCGATATAGATAATATAAATACAATAATCATCCAATGAAAAACAATGTTACATAAAATCTATATTATAATGTTTTCTATATACCGACATTATAATTTTACCTGTAGATAATTTTCCAACCATATAATGGCTTTCATATCCAACATGTTTCTAGGTTCTGAAAAAAAGTTTGTGAAATTAAAGATTATTTTGTCCTTTAATTTCCTTAAAGTAATACTGAACTTAGCTTAAGGTCTTCAGCGTACCCGTTTATATATACTATGACATGACGTGAACGCTGAAGATAACCCCGTAGGGAAAGTCCACCAATAATCGTGCCAGGAATCTGACACGCTCGTATTTATTCATCGAACATGCCATGAAGTAAAGTAAAGCATACCTTGATAAAACTATATATAATCTGTTGATAAGCCAAGGATGGACAAATAAAAATCTTATTAGGAACATAAACTACCTAATAGTTTCCGACAGGTAAAAATTTCGGCACTTGGCCGCCATATTGCCAAAATGTTTGACCACGTGATTACGAGATTGACCTTTATGAACCCATGTGCCTCAAATATTATTATATATAACTTTTTTTAAAGATATTGAAAAAGGTGATTTACTGACTTTTATATTCAATAAAATCATATTAAAGTACTGAAAATTTATGAAAATAAATAAAAACATTATCTTGAATAAAAATATTGAAATCATGTCAACAAAATGTTCTAAATATAGTACACGACTCTATTCAAATCTGTTCCCGCGAATGACGTCATACGAGGTCTCGCGTGGCACCTGAATGTCATGGCCGACTGTAGTCGGCATAAATTGATGTTTTACAGTTAAATAGGCAATTTTAATGACGGTATAAATATTTTGATACTTTAATTGGTATAGAATGATATTAAAATAATTGTTTTATCGTAATATGCACAAGAATTGATTCGGTCAAGTGTATTTGCAAGTGAAAAACAAGAATAAATCAACTAATGTTATTCTGGTTAGGTTTCGTAACGGGTCTAATACAAAACTTTAATGCCGCATTGATGAAAAACAAAAATGTTAAAGAGCGGCTTATAAAGTTTTGGAAGCCAGAACTATACTGAACTTATTTCTAAAAATTTGTCTTTTTATCAACTATGCTAACAATAATACACTGACGACAAACAAAGGGTGCATGCCATTGATTTGAAAAACAAAAATCAATTATCCACAATGGGTTTTGTTTCTATTGCTAGATTAACACAGAGCTCCAGATAGCGTGCGTATAAGCGTAAAATACGCATAGAAAATCTAAAATACGCATCACTTTCAAAATTCGTGCGTCACAGTTACGCACAACAAAATGAAAATATGCTAGTATGTCAAAATTTATGCGTGAAAAAATAGAAGTGTAAACATTTGATATGTAGAAAGAAAATGTTTTGAGCATAAAAATACAATATATTTCCATTTTATTGCATTGAAAACTAAAAATTCTGTTGTCAACAACGCATGTTAAAAACGAAAGTAGCAGGAAATACAGAAGGGAGGTAACTCCCGTAGATCAACTTGCGAAATTAATGCCAGATAATCATCGTAGGAGTTAACACAGTATTAAGTTTGTTTAGGCATCTATTGACATGATTATGCCTCAATATAAACAAAAATATATTTTAATTTCTTCAACTTTTGTTGTTGGAACAAAATAACATGTTTTTCACCTGCAGTTTTGTACTCAATATTTTCGTACCCAGTCTACAGTTACGGACAATTTTCTCTCAGACCAATACTTTTTTTTAAGGAAAGATAAAAAAAATCTTGTTTCTGTTTCTTTAATTCTAATTTCAACTATAATTGTTCAAACTGGAGTACATGATAAGGTACATGCCAACAGAAATAAAGAAAGAAAAATATTGACTCCTAGAAAATAAAAAAAAATTCAGGGCTCCACTAGTGGAAGTTTTGGAGTCGTTTACTCCTTCATTTTGGCCTGTGACTTCCGAAAATCAATACTTTTCCTTCTTTACCTATATAATATGACTTCCAATATCAGAGATTTTGAAGTCTTTGACTTCCAAATTTTGAAAATGGAAGCTCTGATAATTTTGCTGTGTATCCTAAACTTGAGTTCCAGTATACTCTGGAAGTCTGACTTTACATGGCATGTTTTGAATTGTTTCACATTAAATCAGTATTTAATTTGTAAAGGTTTTTCTAAAAAAAGAAAATAAACAAACAAACAAAACAATAAGTTTAATTTGTTTATAAAAAATGCAAAATGCTTTTTTGACAGATTTTACCCCTTAAGTTTTTCAGAATTTGCATTTTACCCCTCACTCTAAATTTTGAGGGGTAAAAACCCCTTGGCCAAAAAAATTATCTGGAGCTCTGTTACATGTTTGCGAGATCAAATTGTCATAAAATTTGAAAACTCTGAATTTATCATCATTTTTATGGTTTTTAATAGAATAAGGTGACCACTAAAGTGTTAATGATCTAAATATGGACGGATGATAGAAGCCGGATATTCAGCTCAGGTGAGCTTAAAAGGTAATGCATTCATTCAAACAAGTATTTAGAAATCATTTTACATGTATTGTAATGCCCCACAGGTGCTAGTTGCATTGATTTGACCTAAAATGTGTTTGACCTTGTTATTTATACAATAAAATATCAATATATTAAAAAAAAAAATTTAAAAAAAATTTTTTTTTTTCACTGTTATATTATTATAGACAAGGTATGCAACATTCAGGTACGAAAATTATGGGTACGCCGGTTATCCGTGTTAAAATTTTTCACCGGGCGGTAATATCGTCGGATTTTTGCATGGAATCAATGCACAATATATTTTTCTATTACAATTTACTATTTACAGATCCCCAATTAACCGCTAGTTAATGTTATAAAGCCCGAAAGTAAGAAATCACCCAGGTCCGAAAGATGAGACCGTCATGACATGTACATTATTAGCTGGTATTTACGCTTGAAATACATCAACAAAGAGATCAAACGGGTCGAACACACATGCATACAACTGGATTTTACATACTTTTAAATGGTTTTATCCTCCACGAGTGGCACTAAGTCATATGTGCCCGTATTTTAAGATACATTCTACATGTATAAGGTAATTCTTAAATCGGAAGTGTTCTCCCACAACACGTGCTTGGTTCCCTGTTCCGCTCTTTGTCAATGTATGTGAAACGGAAACCGGAGAATACTTCCGGTAGGAATTACCTTCTAAAAATATCGTCTACATGTAGGATATTTCTTTAAATACAGGCTCATAGGACTAAGTTCGACTCGTGGAGGATAAAACAATTTAAAAGTATGTAAAATCCAGTTGTTTGCATGTGAGTTCGACCCGTTTGATCTCTTTGTTGATGTATTTAAAGCGTAAATACCAGCTTACAATGTACATGTCATGACGGTCTCATCTTTCGGACCTGGGTGATTTCTTACTTTCGGGCTTTATAACATTAACTAGCGGTTAATTGGGGATCTGTAAATAGTAAATTGTAATAGAAAAATATATTGTGCATTGATTCCATGCAAAAATCCGACGATATTACCGCCCGGTGAAAAATTTTAACACGGATAACCGGCGTACCCATAATTTTCGTACCTGAATGTTGCATACCTTGTCTATAATAATATAACAGTGAAAAAAATAATATTTTTTTTAATTTTTTTTTTTTAATATATTGATATTTTATTGTATAAATAACAAGGTCAAACACATTTTAGGTCAAATCAATGCAACTAGCACCTGTGTAATGCCCTAGAAATTTTACCTTTTGTGATTTCACTTGATTTCAGTCTTGTTTATTTCTACTTTCACTTTCATTTTGTGAAGCTTTTACTGGCGACAACACAATAAATCCTGTGGTGTCCTAATGAAACATACAGGACATCAACGTAAATCTACGTATTGTGCCAGCAATTTAATCCTTCCTGATTCTGGAAGATTTTCCCTAAATGTTATCCATGGTAGAATCCTGTGTTTATAATCTGTTTGTAATCGTGACTTCTGTCATAATAGTTAATTCCTTTATTTCACACTCAAGATGTTAAAGTTTGATTGTTTATGATGCAGCCTCATTTAATATGTAAATCTGCGTTATAAATCCATCTGAATTTAATTGTTAACACTGTTTATTTATGATAATTTGAAATGCACTTTTCCTTGTCGGCCATGTTGGACTATTACGTCTACTGCTATTACGTAGGCACTAGTGAATGCAAGGGATAGTTCTTTATCCCATAATTTGTTAACTAGAAAATGTAATGTTTTAATGTGATTATTCTTATTGTAAGTTTTGATGTATACATTTTGTTGATTAGGTGCCTATTTTTGGCGCAGAAGAGCTGTCAGACAGACAGGGATCAGACAGATAGACTACAAATAGATCTGGCCAGCAGGGAGCAGCTCACATCTAGAACAGTTTAAGGCTCACACTACCAAGCGCAGGAGCGTAACATTTTATGGTGGCAGCGGTGGGATCTACTGATTTCCAAGGGTAGATCCAGAGATTCGAACCTGTACTTGGTGCTACCAGAGAGATTTATTCATCACTTTCCGACAGTGACAGCATGGAAAGCCCTAGACCTGTCGACAGCGAGGGAGTGATATGTTTCAAGGATGGTCAGCAGACAGTAGGAGCGCAGACCAGGACGCTTGACTTTGAGACGGCCGACGAAATGTCTGATGTGGCTTCAGTGTTGAGTGATGTTTCAATACAGAAGAAAAGTGAACAAGAGAACACCAATGTGAATGCGGCAATAGAAATATCAGCTGTGATGAGTGGAGTAACAAGCGTATTGCGAGATGTGGTCAAGGAACTGCAAGAGCTGAAGCAGGCCCCTAACAGGCAAGCAAGTGTTGACGACTGCTCACAGCGACAAGATGCACGAGGATCCCGTGCGGAACAAGAAGCAGGGGTATCTTATGGAGTAGGAAGCAGGTATGATGTCCCAAGGAGAGCACCTATAGACTATGGGTATGGTGATCACTATGATCAGGCATATGTCAGAAGACCTTATGTCAATAGTCATAATAGTCATGCAATTAATGTAAAAATTCCTTCTTTTACAGGCAAAGAAGACTGGGCGACGTGAATAGCCCGTTTCGAAGCTGTTGCCTACAGGTATGACTGGGGACGAGAAGAGAGGTTAGACC